TTGATACATTGAAACATCTCTACTTTAGCCACTTTGGTTTTATGGGAAAGTAACGTTTGTCAGGTAAAGTACTTCAAGAATAGGTGTAATTAGTCCATTTTGTTTGTGTATGGTTGATGTGGATGGGCAGTGTAGACATAACCTGTCTATACACATGGTCTGAGAATTGAGATGTTTTTTACCATTAACAGTTTATCCATCAATGCACTACTTGTGTTAAAGTGCTTTCGGTAATTGGGGGGACGCAGCAGTAATGAATAGAAATGTAAGCTTGTTATTGATAATCCTATTTGTTCCCTTGTCTTCAGGGTGAACGGGTTTCACGCTATTTATTTCACTTATAAGCACGAGGTGAGTGTCACATTAGGGATCAGAGAGCGAGAGATGCAGACTCAGCCTTGGCTCTGACTCCAGCTCTCTTATTTCCCTCTGAAGGGGAGTCCAGGAAGATCAGGGAGCCTCCGGCATGCAAACACATTCACAAATGCTCTCTCCGTGTCCCAGCACCCTGACCCTCCTGTCAACCACACAGTTCATATGACGGCGACCATGTGGTCTGGATGCAGAATACGGAGTCAGATTATTTTACAGTGAACAAGCTCTCGCCTCTCAGCAGACCTGCTACTCTATCTATCAGGTGTTAAGTGAGTGCTTCACCAATTTGCTGATACGTTACTGACGAATCGCTGCTTGATCTCTGGTCTTATGATCACAGCGACTGGGTCAACATGAACACACAATACAATAAAGATTTAAACATGTATGTAGGATAAGCCAAATACCTTTTTCATTTCCGATCCTCAGAGGTGAGAAGAAACGGAACAAAACTGCATACATGTATTTAGTTACTGCACTTCGGTAGCATTTTGATGATTACAGTACAACAAATACTCAACAATGACAACCCAATAGAAGCCATAAAGAAAAATGAATGTAGAAATGAATGTTGAACACAACTGTTTTATGCAACTTCATACTTCTTTAAGTAGGAGCACAATCAATGTACTGTAAAGATCTTTTGATGTAACTCAACCGCACTCGTCTGGTGGCTTTAATCACTTTTCTTGAAGGTAATGCTTGCAACAACAAACAAACAAAAAATGAAATGTGATGCCATCCATTATAGATGAAGCTACCCATAGCTCAGTTAAAGCATTACATGGATTTATTTAAAATTATTGCACATTGTCAGAAATATAACACTTTGAAAGGGACAATTCCCTGGAATAAATACATTAACTTATGACACTAAAGTAGGAAGTTGCATTTTTTAAATTCCTTATAAGTTTATTTACTTTAAAAAGCATTTACATTGTTTTATTGGTGCTTCCCTTGTTGCTGTCACAGGTGTCCCTGTTTCCCCCTAACCAGCTCTCAGTTTTTGGGACATCCCTCATGATTAACTTGGTCAGCGAGCAAGGATCGATTCCAGCCGCCTGTCGATTCAAACCACGCTTTACCAACCATGTGATCTGTTCAAAAACACACACATAGATGACATGTGTGCGTGCGCGTGCATGACTGAGCACTCACACTCATCTAAAGAAGGAATATCCTGCGCAGATTTAAAAAGGAAATAAGATGTTCAAATCATAGCCCATGAACAGTATGTATAGGATGAGTGAGTGACAGCCATATAGAGAGAGGGACTGCTTTTAACGGCTACTTTTTCCTTCATGATAACAAATAGATGTGTTTTGTAGAACAGAAAGTACATGTGACCTATTTACAAGTCTCCTCTCGAGTGTGTATGTGCTCACACATGTGCATGCTCACCTCTGTATATGTGAGGGGCCTTCCCTTGGAAGAACATGTGGTTTCTTCACAGGATATGGGTTTCTGGTGAAAAAGACACAGAGGAAGCTCTCTGAAGAAATCTTCTCTTTTTTCTTTCACTCTCTCTTGCTTATCTCTTTCTTTCCACGAGACACATTTCACCTCAAATGTTCAGGAGGGTTTTTGTAGAATAGAGACCCTTCACACGCAACTAAGCCGTCCTCTTTGTGACCTGGTGTGTTTATTTTATCAATGGAGGGCTAAAGAAATAGAGGTAACACCTATTGTAATGCATTGCAACAAAGAAAGTTGCACAGTAACTCTGATTTAATGATTTATATAAAATTCTAAAGATTCATATTTTGGTTTCCAGCCTTCTGTAAAATAAAATCTATTAATCGGGGTAATATTTAGTCATTGTTATAGTGTAAAAACAATATCTACAAACCAACATCACAAACTGGAGAATCACCAGACTAAAAGTATTTTTGAATCCTTACGCCCTGAATGATTGAAGAGAAATATTGATGTAGACTAAGGACTCTACCAGGGTAAAGGAAATTAAAAAAAATTCTACCTCATTTGTCCCCCTTGATGAAACACTGACTTGTATAGACGGTGTCAGGAGGAGTTTGTAACTACAGGTTGCAGCGGGGGGTGCGCTCCACATGCTTCCAATCCTGGGCCTGGGACAGCTTCGCCACTGCTCCTTCATATTTAATTGTTACGTTGAATTATTCTGGCTCACTGTCGTGTTGTGCCACCATGAATTGGGCCGCAGAGTTTGTGTGTGTGTGTGTGTGTGTGTGTGTGTGTGTGTGTGTGTGTGTGTGTGTGTGTGTGTGTGTGTGGCGGTGCAGGGTTACATTTTATGTGTTTGCAGTCTTAAAGTCCACCCAGTCACTCGGTTCCTCAGGCACGTCTGTGGTTCTACAGGTGACGTTTGCAACAAATAGAAATAGACTCAGCTGTCCTAGAGTTGTAATTGAGACGTAGCGGAAGTGAACGCAGAGGCCAACATCCACAGCCTCCCCTGCTTGTGTGTCAGCTCCACGGGCCATTACATTCTCCAACTGTCTTTCCGCACTGTGCCTGGTATACATTATCTACACATATATACACACACACACACACACACACACACACACACACACACACACACACACACACACACACACACAGGAGCACAGGTAGAAGGCAGCTGGCTGGTGGTTTCATATTCAACACAGGTAACCTGGTGATGCAGAACTACTTCTGCAGCCAGCAGCTCACAGCTTTATACTGAACATCATGTCATCAATGCTTCTCCAGCTTATACACTGTTTTATTGGGTGGAACAAATCAAATATGGTCAAATCATAGCTGAAGGTTTTAGCATCACTCAGCTAAGTCAGTTCTGGCTATGAAGCGTTTGAGTGTAAAACAGACGGTGATTGGATAAACATACATGTTTTTCCTGATGATATATTAGGTAAAAAGTAATCCCCACACTGAACATGTTTCCACGCCTCTCCTCACTGGTATATCTTGATATGCTATGAGCCAGTTAGATTCAGAAAATAGACTGCAGCGCCCCCCTCAGGAAAAGAGAAAAAAACACCCAGAAATTCAGATGAAGGATATTGAGGGTCTTTCAGCAGTTTTAGAGAAAATCTTAAATGCATTGTGTTTTTTGGATTTTGAAAGCCGATTTTTATATTAAAAAAAAACAACAGCCAGCTTTTTAACTCACAAACTTCTTGGTTTATAGTTTTTTTAGAGAATGATTTAAATTAAAACGTTTACTGTGCTTTAGATATATAAGTAGTACTTTCTCTAAAACATCAATTGTTTGTTGTGCTTTATTCCTTCAGACCCGCTAAAAGACAAAGAACATGGGAAAAGAAGAAACACTAATACACTGTATAGTAAGTATGCCATCGTTATTTAAGCCATCAGACATAACCCATACAACTCCTGATGTGTGTGAATGCCTTCTGGTGTAACTTTGACACTTCAAAGACTTCAATAACCCCTTTTCAAAAACTAATTTGACCTGTCTGCAATTATTGAGAGTGGCAGAAAAGAGCTGCAGTTCAGCTGGTGAGAATAAACCCCGGGGCAGACCATGTTGGAGGATGATGCCTTTGAACCTTTAGAGGTGTTCTTATTTAAAAGTAAACGTTCATCATTTCAAACCTTTATTTAACCAGGTGGTCCCATTGAGATCATCGATCTCTTTTTCAAGGGAGACTTCAGTTTAAAGTTGCCGGTATAATGCACACCGTATATAACCACAAGTCTGGACTCCTCTGATCATGCAGATAAGATGATGTGGAGTATCCGTGCTGTGAAATATTGTTGAGCATGACTTGGAGAGTGGACAGACATTTCAGATGGTGATGATATGAAATATGAAAGAGTATGAAATTCGTTTTCTAGGGTGACTTACATCTGTCCAGGGACTACAGATGAAAAATAGCTTCTTGGCTAACTGGCACATTTACAGAATTACTCATGTGCACTGTCCCTTTTACATAAATAAAAGATTGAGTATACATGTAGTTTTAGTATTTGTGATTTCACGAATATAAAATAATGATTACTGAGAGTTATGGGCAAATCATCCAGTTAGTTGTTTAAATCAAGCATTAAGCTTTAGGGGAACTGTGTAATCACAAGTCAGTGACCATTTTGATCATTCCTGTTCTGTATGAGGATATTTTGCTGAAAAAAAGGTTTTACGATGCCATATGACAAAATGTACAGCTTTCAATAGTCCGGAAGAGAGATCAAAGAGAATATCAAATATGTCTGTGAAGGAGCTTTTCTCATTAATGATGTCTGAACTAAATAAGAGTAAACTTCCACATGCACATAGATTTTTACTTTTTTATTGTACAATATTACAATTACATTTGTACAAATGTTAACAATGAAAAAAAAAAAGAGTCAATTCAGGCTACAAGAGGAAATGTTTGCTGGGGCCTGAAAACAACAATGTCCTTGAAAGCTGCACTGAACTTGAATGCAGCTGCTGCTGCTCGGAGGCGGGCCATATACAAAAACACAGACATGGCTTCCTCACCTTCACCCCATCAGTTATTTAAAACACAGGAGGGGGCAGAAGCAAGGTGGCCACCAACATCAGTGCAGATGAAAATCATGTACTGAATTTAAAAAAAGTTTGTGTGTCTGCGTGTGTTGTAGTGCAGAAGGGAAGCGGGGGGGTTGTTGTTCATTTGTCGTTTGGTCCAGGTCCAATGTGTTAAGAAGCCGAGGCGCAGGGTCAGAGGTCGTCAGGCGGAGTTTAAGAACGGGTGTACTTTCCCCAGATGTGCAGCATGAAGACGGAGGCGATGAAGAGCAGACTCATCACCAGCACGGGCACCGGGCCGCTGTCACAACAAAGAGAGAATGATCAACACTCGGATAAACACACAAACACACAAAAATCCCATAATTTGCTCTAAGCCCGACCAAAGTCTCCGTAGAGCGGCTGATTTTATTGATGAGCTTAGGAAACAAGGAGGCGCCCTCATCTCTGAAGGAGGGACTGAGTGGGGGTGTGGGGTGGAGGGGTGCATCACTAAGTAGCAGCATTGCCATGCCAACCATCTCCTCTGCGGCCCCCTCCTCTCCCTGTCAGAAGGCTGTAATTGAGTTGACCTTTCAGAGTGCATCCTTTAATGAAGCTTTGAGGCCGGCGTCTAACGCAGGAACAAACACGCACTCGATATAAAGCACTGTATGGCGAGTCTGCCCTCCTTCGACTGCTGGAGAGACACTCAATAACCACCACGGCACCATCGATCAGCCATTGCCAGGAGACTGGACGCCTCCTCTAATATTAAGGCAGCGGATGTAGCAGAATAGAACTTTATTGAGGTTGAGAGTTTTCCAAAATGATGCTTTGCTAACACTCATCATTTTTTGTGAGTATATAAAGACACAGACTTAAATGAAGCTGATCCACCACTTAGAGATGATTTGTTTTACCACAGAGGCACGTCTACCCAATTTCCTGTCATTAAACATTCCTCGCATCCTACCTGATGAACATGTACAACACTAATCATAGCAAGTGTCGGAAATCCTGAGTATTAAGTGCGTGTTTGTGAGTGGGATGTAGAAATGTCAAGAGGCTAAATTGGTTACAGTGTGTATGTTCCTGTGTTTTGCTTTTAGAAATGACACTTACACTTTGAGGCCTGGCGAGTCTTCTGTGTAGAAGCGCCACATGCCACCGGTGCCCGCCGATCCTGTGGTCCTGCCACCGCTGCGTGTGCCACTGCTGGTGGCTTTCCTGTGGGACACACACATAATTCAAAGTCAAAAACATATCGACAAAGCCAAGTGTTTGAATGACTTAACAGAGCCCAATATAAAAAGGGCATAACAACCCGATCTTAAACGCTTCCAAGTTTCTCTCTGTAAAAGGTTTTTCAGAAATATAAAATGTGATGTCTCAAAGAACTTTATTTTAAAACAAGACAACTAGAACAGAAACACACTTTTGAGTGCAGGGTAGAAAAGGGGAGGGGGTATAACATGAAATAAAGGAACAAAGGTCACATGGCTGGAATCGAAACCAGGACATTGTGTTCACAATGGAACCAACTACAGTAGCTGCTGATGAAAGAGCAGGTTGATTCATGGCTGCTTCACTCATGTGATGAGATTAAACGGAGGTTAATGAGGTAATGAAGACGACGATAGTAATGGGTAATAAGAGGTAAGAGCCAGCCTCTGATTAAACACTGATTAAGCCCACAGCACAGCATCTATCGCTCATATAAACAGGGAGCACAACAAATAAAGCGATGGCTATATGAAATTCATCAATAAGTCTTTACTGTGTGATGACATGAGCAGACGGGGTCAATGCTGAGGGCATTTGAAAAATAATTTTAGAGAATGTGTGCAGGATAATAACTATTTCTCAGGTTTAATGTAAAGTTGTCTTCAATGGCCACTTTTTCACAATGGTGTCCAACATACAGATATTTGACCGATAGAGAATAGATATAAAAGTGTCTTGTGCACGAGGACAAAAAGGTCACCAAAACATCCTCAACGCTGCAAGGCAGTCATTCTCAAAGTGTCTCACTCTACTGGTGGGATTACTTAAATCCTATAAGATAGTCTTCAATGTGGTGTTTTGAGCTGACCCCTCTTAGTCCCTTGGTGTTGATCAACTTAACATCTTGATTATTGAGTTGATTATTTTTTAAAGCCGAGTAAATTATTTCCAGAAAACCTATAAATAATTCTGAATTGATTAATTGAAGCATTGCTTTGATTATTTGAGGGGAAAATCTGTTGATTAAATCAGTTAAATCAATTATTTGATCAATTGTAGTATAAGTCGACTATATTCTCTTTAGTCTTGAACGGCCGTAGTATTGATGATGGTGGGGATGATGATGATGGGGAAACTTCTCCAAAAAGTCTGACTAAAATGTCCAACAGTTGTTCATATGGGATAACATATGTTGATTGGAATGACTCATGATTCAGTGAGCCCTTAACTTCTACATAGAATCTTTATTAATGATGTTACTGCATCAGTTTAGTCCCGTCTGCCGCACATCTGTATACACGTGTGGAGAGTTTTCTCACTTGTCACCTGGATGAAGAGTAAAAGTTCTGTATATTGTGTGTACCTTTGCCTGACTGTGGATCCTGCTGCGCGAGGGGCCACAGTCTTACTGGGGGAACGGCTCGAGGCCCCAACATTGGTTGCACTTGCTGCTGGTCCAGGCTGAGGGGAAGACACCAGAATGAATACACATTACATGTTAGACATATGAACAGTATCCCCTCCATGATATCCTCTTCCATGCATTCTGTCTACTCTGTCACATACATTTAAAAACATTTACAGCTAAAACATAATAATCCATAACCTTCAGATAGGGAGTTATCAAACAATAAAGTATGAAAAGCTAGTCAAATGTGATTATTAACTGTACAGTGCCTTTACGTCAGAGTGATGGCAAAGGCCTTTAACTGCAAGTCCGCACCTTTCATTGAGTTCAACTTCTACTGATCACATGCAGAGTTTCAACTAAATGTGCGTACTAGCGTATATAAATCATTCATCTAGTCCATTGCCAGCTTTTCATTTGTATTGTGGGACTGTTTAACTGGTTGAAAGAGAGCCACGTCCACAAATGATTAGCCAACATTAGCAAGCTAGCTAACAGATAGCAAATCCATAGATTGGGGCTTACGTTAAAACAGTAAATGTGAGCGTGTTTGCTTTACCAGTAACATTTGTAGATGGAGTCGAGTATCTTACCATTTTGTTGTTTGTGTTGTTTTCCCGATACAAGTTAAAAATCCAGAGCCTTCTTCAAGATGATGTCCACGTCAAATGAATAGCAGACAGCCGGCGTGTGAATTGGTCAAAACTTGAGAAGATCCCACAGAGCTGACGTCTATCTAAAAAGGACACGACTGCAAAACACAAGACCAGCGCAGGTGACCGAGCAGATGCCTGACGGTCTGATCCCGTTCACCCAATAACATAATGAACTCAACCTTAGTTTTAGAGCTTGTTTTCTGTGCCACTTAAATTCAACTTGATTTCAACCCCTATACGTGTTTTAGTGTATTTTATTTTGTGTATTCTTGTACCTTAATTCAAAGGCACATTTTTGGTCAGCCTTGATTTTGAAGGAGACGTGTCTCACAGGAAGCGCCTCCGTTTACATGAGTAGAGGAAACTAGCGCCATTGTTGCTCAAACATGAAGCGCTACTAGCCTGACCACAACACATAATTTGAGCCAACATGGCTTCCTAACGTTAGAGTTTCCTGACATTTGTACATGCTTATACTGGCTTCTAGAAAAGCATAATCACAGGTTTCAAAACTCGGACAAGATCCAAAGGTAAATATAACTCAACCATTATTAGATTGTACGGAGATGTAGTTTTGTTCACGAAAGACAACTGTCAATAAAGTCAGCTTTCGGAACGATTATTTAATTAGCTACATAGGCTAGCATGCCTATTCTTTTCAATGTAACGTCAAACATACACAAGACATTCAGAATAACTTATTTAACGAACAGTTACCACACGAAATTTCACATCATTTCAATAGTCATTTATATTCTTGCTATCAGTCTGACTTGTTATCCTCAAACGTAAAACCAGCTGGAGGTTTTCCTCCATGACAGAAACAATTTGCTGCTAAAAAGTCCTGACAGTAAGGGTTTCAAGGGTTAGGATTTATGAATTCTGGTTACTTGTGTTGGAGAGAGTTGTTTGCTTAAACCATCATCACATTTTAGATCGTTTTAAAAACTATTGAAATACATTTTCTCTGTTACTCAGATTTAGGCTGTAATTCCCATAAATGTTTATTGTGTCATGCACTTTGTACTTCTGACTTTGAGAATATTCAAATTATCTATCGTCTCACTGTGCTCCTCCATTGATCTGTCCTTCTGCATGACACAGTGATGTACAATGTGTTTAACTTTAACCCTCTCTGCAACAAGTATTGTCTTGTGGTAACATTTATACCAGATTCAATTTGAACATTTGTGTGCAGGATGGCGCGGGTGGTGTTCCTCCATCCAGACCTGGGTATTGGTGGAGCTGAGCGTCTGGTGGTCGATGCTGCTGTCGCTCTAAAGTCTAAGGGATGCAGCGTTCAGATATGGACTGCCCATTACGACCCAACCCACTGCTTCTCTGAGACGCTGGATCCAGAACTGCCTGTGGTACGTAAACTCACACCTTCCTACCTGATACTGTCTCTCAAAGATCCACAACAAAGACAAAGAATAGTCAACTCTAAAGACACTCGCATATTACTTAATTGTTTCTATTGCTCTTCTTATAGGTATGTGTGGGGGATTGGCTACCCACAAATGTGTTTGGTTACCTGCATGCCCTGTGTGCCTACATGAGGATGATCTTCGTGGCCCTCTACCTGGTCTTCCTCAGCGGGGTGGAGTACGATGTCATCTTCTGTGATCAAGTGAGTTGTGTCATACAGGAAAAACGTATCCTTCTGTTTGGTCACTCGTAACTGTCTCTTTTGCTCAGAGAAATGCTGCTATTGCAAACAGTGGACTTACTTTTTGTGTCTCCTTTTTGTGACACACCTCTTTACTATACCATGCCGTAAAGTGTACACTCCCTTGCCTATTCCATTGTGTTTCACACAAATACGCACAGGTATCAACTTTCTCTTGTAAATAATTACAATGGGTTTCCATGGTTGCTAAAAATCCTTGAACACTTTAGATTTTTGAAAAGTGCTTAGGTTTTGAAGAAAGTGCCTGAAACAGCATGAACATATTTAGGCTACATGATGCCAAGTCTAACAAATAGATGACACTTTTTGAAACATAAAATGTGTGTTTTCCTCAATTTTTCCACACTTTTGTTGAATGCAGAAATGTAATTGTCTTTTGCACAATATGAACTTAATTGTTGTGATGAAAAAGTGCAATCATCCTAGACTGTATGAACTGTATGTACTGTATGCAAAAATGTATTTTACCGCTGTAAACGGCAGAAAAAGCTTGAACATGCACCTTTTTAAATGCTTGAAAATAGCTTGAATTGACTTTGTAAAGCGTGCACGAACCAGTACAGAAATAACTCAATATTAAGCGAGGTACAGGGTGACAGTAGGAGAAGCCAATCAAACGGCATTTTATTTAAACGTCACATATAGCTTGACCAGTACTTCTCTTCGGATGTGTGTTTACTGGTACATTTCTGATCATACACCTTTCATTCTACACCAGGTGTCAGTGTGTATCCCGGTGCTGCGACTGTCCCGTCACAGGAAGAAGGTTTTGTTTTACTGTCACTTCCCAGACCAGCTGCTGACCCAGAGGAAGTCGGCCCTGAAGAAGCTGTACCGTGCTCCCATCGACTGGATGGAGGAGCGCACCACTGGCATGGCTGATATGGTACGGCTCAGGGTCTAAGGCTGTGTCATTGTGATGGCCTTCCTACTAAGAGGGCTGGACTGAGTCACGGTTATAATCTGATTTTATCCAGAATAAGAATGTCATTTATATAGCATTTTGGTAAATACATGTTTTACAAACTTTAACACAGTAGAAAACCTACATGTATTATATCAAGATTAAAAACAAAATAGCTGCTATTCATTCTCAAAAGATGCTCCTGATGCGACCTAATTGTTTGAAGGACACTTGATAGTAAATGCTGTGTGGTCTTATGAGTAGTATAACTAATTGGATGACACAGTTTAGTTTTTCAATGTTATTTTAAATCCTTGTTTTGCCTATTGCAGACAGGAACATGATATTGTAAGCAGTAACACGATTAATACAATTAAAAGTTGTGAAATTGGTTTATTCTGATGCTCAAAGCTGGTTAAAAGCACTGGATAGAAAATGGTACATTTTATATACTTACAGATCATTCATAAAATGTATCAATACTAGAATTTCCAGTGCAATGTTAGCAAAGGTAAAATGAAATATGTTAATAGCCCAGTAGTTGAACTTCAGCAAGATTGCTCTTAATTACATCTATCTAAGCCTAATGTTGTTTAGAGAGGTGTAATTTCTCTTCCAGACTGAGGTTGGCTCTTAATAACTGCTTAAACTGTAATGTAAAGGAATAAATCAAAATACAAGGTAAGTTTTATTGGTTTTAAGAGATTGAAAAAACCAAAGCGGATATTTAAAATGTGTTACAGTACAGCCTGATCTCTGCTGGCAAGCTGAAGTAAAAGCTCAGGGCCCTGATAGAAAATAAATTGACATTTGGGTTTCAAACTAGACGTTAATAATAAAAGTCTGCAGGCTGTCATACACTTACTCAGAAGGAATTAAAATGCCTGTGCTATATGTGAGATCCTTATGAACTAATCTCTCTGTACTTCCTCTTAGATTCTGGTAAACAGCAAGTTCACCGCAGGCATCTTCAGCGAGACCTTTAGTGGTCTGAGAGGAGTTCAGACGGATGTCCTCTATCCCTCCCTCAACACAAGTACCTTTGACCAGCAGTCCACTGAAGCACGAGGCCTGGAAGGGCTTCTTCCCGAGGGGACCTCCTGCATGTTTCTCTCTCTGAACCGATACGAGAGGAAGAAGAATCTGGGGCTGGCTCTGGAGGCTCTCTCCGCCCTGAGGAGCCTCCTTCCTGCAGGCCAGAGAGCGGGTGTTCACCTGGTGGTGGCGGGGGGCTACGATGACAGAGTTACTGAGAATGTTCAACATTATACTGAACTGAAAGAGCTGGCAGCGCAGCTCCACCTGGAGGACTGTGTCACTTTCCTGCGCTCCCCCTCTGATTCAATGAAGGTGGCGCTGTTACGGGGCAGCGCAGCCGTGCTCTACACCCCGAGCAGAGAGCATTTTGGGATTGTTCCTGTAGAGGCCATGTACTGCTGTTGCCCTGTTATCGCGGTAAACTCTGGGGGCCCCCTGGAGAGCGTGGCAGACGGGGAGACAGGCTTCCTGTGTGAGCCCCTGGCCGAGGCCTTCTCTAAGGCCATGGAGAAGCTGGTGAGAGGGCCTCAGCTCCGCAGGGACATGGGACACGCCGGGAGGAGGAGGGTACAGGAGAAGTTTTCTCTTCAGGCCTTCTCAGACCAGCTGTATGGGTACATTGTCAAGCTGAGCCAGTGATGGTAACGCAGAAGACAGGTTAAACAAACGATCCTATTCTGAACTGTGAATTGTCTGTGGTCCACTGGGGTCTGCAGTGAGGTGACATGAACATCTTCTAATAGAGGATGTGTGTGTAGATGTGCAGGGAGGTGGGAGTATTATCAGGACTCAGAGGAAAATCAATTTGCATTCCCCTGGAGGGGTTGCTGAGAGGAAAAAAATGGCGGAATCTCTATACCAATTAAGACACAAGAATAACGAGTTTACCTATATCTCTGGAAGAATACCACACGTGTGTGTGTGTGTGTGTGTGTGTGTGTGTGTGTGTGTGTGTGTGTGTGTGTGTGTGTGTGTGTGTGTGTGTGTGTGTGTGTGTGTGTGTGTGTGTGTGTGATATTGCACATGTGTAGCAGCGCCGGAACCAAGAGCCTAGCAAATGAGCATACCAAAAGGATTGATTGTTAGACAGAAATGTTTTGCACTGTGTATGTTTTTTCCCCCCTTGCTTTGATACAGTAATCATTGTGTTTGGGTGATGAAGAAGAAGAAGAATGTAGTTACCACCCTATGCCATCAGGCAGTGCACAGACCCAGATCGATAAACGGGATGCTTTCCTCCAGTTCCTGTCCGCCCAGAGCTTTGTTCAACTCCTCGCATTCAGAAAACGCTGGCCTGTTCTGACTCTGGCTGCTGTGTGGAAGTTATTAGTGGATGATAGAGAGTGTTTGGCTTTATTAGAGGTCTGGTTGATGGGCATTGGGACTTTGTCTGGGTCTTTATCAACGAGGAGAAGAGCAGAAGGTCATTGTGTCTCCAGCTGGCCTCCTCAGCCCTCCTACTGTATAGAAAAGCTTGTATTGACATTCCTGAAGTCTTAATAAACAAGAGGACACAAACTCTCCTGACTCTTATGGGGTTTGCTTTGTTGCTAAGTTTGTTTGGCCTTTAATAGACTTTGCTAGGAACAGAAATGTTAAGGTTTTTTTCTCCTTTCGTTGAACAGATTTGATTGTTCCTTGTTGGTAAATGAAACATTCTCAGACAATGTATCAGCTAAGGAGTTTTATTTTCGCTCATTAACAAAGTCAATTTGACAGATGTACATGGGAGGCGTGGAAGTTTCTGTCTCCGTCCGTTGCTGCATTATCATGTTCAGAGTTTGAGACGTGTCCCCAGGTGCATCACTCTTGATCTTAAAGGGAATCTAAAAGAAAAAGTAAATAATAATTAGGACATCAAATCATATGGCTAAATATCTAATATCAACCACACCACAATCACTTAGTTAAACCAACCTGGTTGCACTCAGTATGGCCGTATCGAACAAATGTGGCGAAATGCTCACTGTTGAAGTTCATCAGGTCGTATTTTGAAAGGTCTCGCAGCGAATGGTCTCCTGTGTAGATGGAAGCAGGTTGTGCTTGTTGTTGTTGACCCTGATGCGAGTTCCCAGCAGCACTTTGATCTCCGTAATGCGCTGAGTGCAGATCCTGGTCTTCCTCAGAACACGGTCACCTTTGACTTTGGAACCATTTGTTGAAGGAGGCTGCAGCAGGCTCTCTGTGTCATGTTCTCATCTTACAATAACCAAGAAATACAGTGGGAAAAAAGGACATTTCAGTACAATAAATCTGGTTGATTTTAAATGTCTGAGTGACACTTTTTAAATTCTACAAATGCAGTGTGATTATTTTAAATTAAGTCCCATTTAATTTTCTTACCTCCCACTCCAAAATGGAAAACACAGCCATCTCCAACATAAAAGCCCCAAAGACACAGTCCTGACCATGGATTTGCAAACTCAATCAAGTCTCCAATCTCTGTTCAACCTAAAGATAAAAAGGCTAAGTCAGAGCAGTGTACAGAATCCAAACATCGTTTTTCCTTGATGGAAACCAGGAAAATTCAAAGAAACTATGGACATAAAATCTAACTATTTGCCACCTAGATTTTTAAGAGAGCAACCTTAAAATATAAGGGACATTTAAAATGGAAACTATACATAAAACAAGGCCTTTTTCAGCAGTATTTGAATGAGAATCACACTAATTAAACTTCAGATAAGTGCTATCAGAGTTTCCTTAGCTGTTGTCACCAACATACTTTCACTTTGTATACCACCTTTTAAATTGGGTGGCAGACATAGAGATGGATATACCTTGAAAGTACTTTACGTATGTACACCATGGTCTAATGGTAATATAATACATTAAAAATAATTCTCACCTGTCGCCATGTCATTTGGGGAAAAAGGCTGTTCCAGTTTCCCATAGGGTCCATGGTTGCTGTGAGCTCATCAGATGGACTGAAGTGTATTTTCTCATTAATGGGACGCTGTGATGTTGTGTAATAAAACACCTTCACTAGCCGCAGTTAGCCTTGACTGCAACACTTTCAAAATGATAGGCAGTCTAATATGTTGCCTATTAATCTATGTGCTCTTTTGTTCTGGTTCAGGCTGCCACTGTGAATCAGTTGATATAAATATTATATAATTATTCATATATTTGCTAAAGTTTGTTTAAAATGTGTTGTTAACCTGCATTGAGTTTTCAATTCCCACTTCTCATATTGATTCAGACATTTCTTCAGTCAATTTCAAAATCTGAAATGCAGAAAAACCAAACAGCGCTGCTGCTTGTTTTTCAGAACTGAGAGCAATTTGTCCCTATAGATCCAATTAGTGCAGGTGGTTTGATTTGAAATAAATACTAAGGTCTAGCCTCAGTATGCCTCAGTGATGCACCTCACTATGTATAATAGTGATCCTGATATAGTCGGTGTGTGCTGAAGGTATGCCTGTATTTTGTATTTAAGGTGTTGGTTATATAGGCTATTAAATGTCCGATTCATATGTTCATGACATTAATTGTTGATATTCTTTCACATAAAAATAAGATTCAAAATGAGATACTTAATTCCCATTTTAAGGTAGTGTTAGGAATCTGCTCTGTGAGCTCATGTAGAGCCAAGTGACAAAACTCATGACCACACATAAGGCATACAAATGTGATTAAAACATTTATTACATTATTATTTTTCTTATAGCTTTATATGAAATAGAGAAATTGTGCCAAATACATTTTTCCTCATGACCCAATCCACATTGTTGTTGTCTTAAACAAAATAACCCAATATATACATACATAATCTTCATATATAATCATAAATATAACTGAGCTTTTCAAACCATTTATGAAACATTGATGTGTTTATGAAAAGGAGAGAAAAGGGGATTTCCTGAGCGCACAATGTAGATATAAAACATATTTTTAACCTTTTTTTTGGTAAAAAATATATATATTTAAAGCAAAAGCAGCAGGTATGTGCGTGCATTTGTGGTTTACTGTTGTGTTTCCACATGCAGATGTATTGAGAGTAGATGATGCGGAGGGCATTGCTGCAGTGATTTAGGGGCCCCGTGGAGCCTGTAAGGGAGGGAGAGACACACAGACTCCTTTAAATGTGTCCCACTTTGCTGCGTACACAGAAAGATGGTGTCAGAAGTCTCATTTCTATCTCTTCCATTTTTTTCTCGGTCTTTTCAAAAAAAGAAATGTCTTTACCTTTAAGTTGTGGAAGAACCCCCCCCCTACTTCAGTGCCCCGTGGTGGGGTGGTTATTGAGATCACGGTGTGTCTGAGTGGCAGCGATAACCGGTACCCAGGTGCCACTGGCACATGGTGTTTAATTAATTAATGAGACCGCGGGGTTGGTTTTTCTAATTCCAGCTAGCCAGCACCGGGGTGTGGGGGAGATAGCGGCGAAATGTTTAGGTGTGTTTTCAGGCGAGGAAGGGGAGATGTATGTGGAAGTGTGTGCGGGTTAGGAGTGTATATCTATTCTGTTGGCAGTTTGGGAGCTGGTTTCCTTGTTAGTGAAATATTAAATATGTATGGAATATTTTTACTCTGACTTTTAATCATGCCATAGGATTGGGAGTTAATCATGGGCTAAATGCAGCTGATGAAGAGAGAAACTCATCTCTCTAAACCTCCAGCATACAACCGGGTCATGGGCTCATTGCCCTTAAACACACAGATGTACTTGAAATGTAAACATAAGGCAACAAGGGGTGGCGTTCAGGGCAGTGTATGTTATGTCTTACGCACATTTAAATATAATGTTTTGGATGAATGTAGGGTTAGGATTGGTATAATTAAACGACGAGTTAGTACGGATCTCTTACACTTTACCTCAAAACGTCTGTTCCAAAAATAAAGACTTTTTAGATTAAGAAGTTCCCATTTAATTGACTCTATTATAGACATAACACAATTGCATTATATACAACTACATTTTATTCAGTGTTTTCCCTTTTCCTGCCATCATGAGGGTCTGTTTCTGTTATCTTTACGTAATACTCTATTACATGAATCAGGAAAGTAACTTTACAAAATACAAATATGCAGTTAGATGTATTATGATGTGCACCTGATGTGCTAAAATGTGTATTTCCTCTCTAACAAAACCGTTATTTAATCCCAATTCATCAAACATGCAACAATGACTCTTCTCTTGTTGATTGTTGACATCCTCGTGGATTCATCTTGTTATTATAGACACATGCATTTCCAAACATTTGGTCTACCTACGCTTTAAAATGTATTATCTTTTCGATTTACACACGGCATTTATTGCACGTCTGTCCGTCCTGGGAGAGGGATCCCTCCTCTGTTGCTCTCCCTGAGGTTTCTCCCATTTTTCCCTTTAAACTGTGGGTTTTCTCTGGAAGTGTTTCCTTGTACGATGTTGTGAGGCTCTAAGGACAGTGGGTGTCGTATTGTCATACTGATATTCTGTAGAAACTGTGAAGTCCACTGAGACAAATGTAACGTGTGATATTGGGCTAAATAAACATTGATTGATAGTTCTCTTTGATGCATTGAAAAATGTTTAAATCAGTGAATCTGGACCTACAGGGTTACGCTTCTTAATATCCTGTGATGTGTGAAGATGCATTAGTGTACGCTTTCCTACTCGCTACAAATACTATCAAACGTTGCCAAGAAGACAGGAGGAGTTTTACTGTTGGATGAATGCAGCGAGGAGAAAGAGCCTTCCTGATCATGAATGATAGAATATGCTCAAACAATAGAAAGTCTGCATTTGTATTCACAGCTCATCTTTAAGAGCTGTTTTACATGGTACATGTTAGCAAATTATGTATTTCACTCTTTACTGCTTCCATAAACTATTCAAATATATTAGCTTACACCTCATAAATGTTAACACTGCACAACTCTTACCCGCACTGGAATAACAGTATAAGGAGCTGCTATCACAGAGGAAAGAAATGATTTACTAAAGCTACATAAAACTCTTCTCTCTGTGGGAGATCACAATAAAACGTCTATATTCTCTGATAGTGGAATATTAAAGATAGCCTCTATAAAAAATAGCTTTATGGCCCAGGAAAGAGAAGCATTACGACTTGCTCTGCACGTTGTAGTTTAAACCATCTTATAGCTTAAAGATAAACGAGTCCATAGATTTCATACATCACACGTCATCTAATTCACAGGAGGCTTATCCATAAAAATGTAAGGAGTCTTGTTTCAGATGTAAAGTTATGAGGGAATGTCCAGCAGCATTGATGGCGTGTAGTCAGATAAGGTACAACACAAGATTACACTGAGAGAAAACAACTTTGCATTCACACACTGTTCTGACAAATATGTAATATATTAATAGTCATCATAGTTTCCACAAAGCATTGGCGTGTTTCTAATATTTATTGTTCAATGACACCGAGAAAACTTGAATAGATATATTTCTTTTGACATTGGATTGTAATAGAAAAATAAATTATAATTTTTTCCTTTACCTTTTTGCAAGCCGTTGTATTTTGATTTTTAAAAGTATGCAGTTTAATACACCGTATGAGAAAAGTGCTCAT